ATCTATCTATCTATCTATCTATCATTCTATCATTCTATCATTCTATCATCTATCTATCTATCTATCTATCTGTCTGTCTATCTATCTCTCTGTCCACATGTCTGTCTGTCTATCTATCTGTCTAGGGTGTCTGTCTGTCTATCTATCTTTCTATCTTTAGCTATCTATCTTTATCTATCTATAGTTGGAGAAGTGCCGAAGTAGTGGATGTACTCACCGATTCGTGAAGCCTGGGAAGGGATTTTCTGACAGAACAGGCTCTATAGTGTCTTTCGACCCTGAGTTGAAAGAAGGGTCATCACCTCGACTGCGACGGTTCAGGAGTGCTTAGGATGCTGGGCTTGGCCCTTGGATTCAGGGTTGCTGGTTGCAGAGAGTTTCATTAGTCACCAGAGCCAGGTCCAACAGTGCCCTAAACCCTAAACCGTAAACCCTCAACCCTAAACTCTAAACCCTAAAACCCTAAACCCTAAACCCTAAAGCCCTAAACCCTAAGAGTGGCAGGCAGCAGAGCGGCAGCAATCTCACAGAAGAGGCCGCACAAGACGAGACAGTCAAGTCGACTCCAGGATTTGAGAAGGATCCTGTTGCTTCTTATGGTTGTCGGCTACCGTAAACCTAAACCCCGCCGCTCAAGAACGTCCACATCCTTCAGTTGGGTTCATGTGCAACGAAGCAGTATTTTCAGTTGGTTGAGTGGTTCTGAAAAAGCTGGCCAGTGTAGTTGAAGTAGTTGCCTTTTGATTCAGGCAGAGAGGTTTTGTCTGCCGTTGGACCAGCTCTGCTGGAAATAGTTCTGCGGTATTCCATTTTCCGACAGCTTCCCAGCGACTCAGCCTCAAGCCTGGATTCAGTGGTCAGACACCTGATGAAGTGTATTGCGCTTTAGGGCTTGGGCTTTTGGTCTTTGGGGTTTGGAGTACATTCAGGCTAAAGCCCCTAAACCCTCAACCCTAAACCCGAGACTCTACAATTCTTCCTCGATGGATGCAAAACCCGGCGACAAGCCATGGCATTTCTCGATTGCTCTTCTTAGCGGGCGCACCGTCGAGATCGATGCAGATCCGAACTGGCATCTTGACTCAAAGAGGGGCCCTAAACCCTACACCCTAAACCCTAAACCGGGCTTTCATATGGTTTTGCAGGGTTTACGTGGGTTAGTAGGTGGTAGTGCTGATCGCAATGCGTTTATGACTGTTTTTAGCTGCGTTACAGGGTTGGCGATAGATCTCAGTACCTTGTGGACTTGGGTCAAGGGCAGTAATACTTAGTAGTAGAGTAGGTAACCTTTTCTTTTGGGGGTACTATAATCCCTATATAATCCCAAAGGTTAATTTTTGGTTCGAGATGATACTGGACAAGTAGTAATGAAATCAAATCGTGTAAGTGTTGGATGTTGATAGACGTTCGAGCCCTGAAACTCACATGTTTCCCTTTTGATGCTGGTCAGATGCTTTCGCAATCTGCCCTAAGCCCGAAGCCATAAACCCCAAAATCCTAAACCCTAAACCCTAAACCCTAAGCCCTAAACCCTAAACCCTAAACCTAAAACCCTAAAACCCTAAACCTAAACCCCAAAACCCTAAACCCAAAGCCCTGTCTGGTCGGCTGAGGGTCGATCACCCTGCCTTCCGCACCCCGAATCCTAAATGAAAGAGCCTTGCTCCCACTGCAAACCATAAAGCCTAAGCCTTGAACCGTAAACCCTAAACCGTCAACTCAAAACCCGAAACCTCAAGCCACAAGCCCTAAACCCTAGGCGATAGAAAATAAACTCTCAACCCTAAACCCACGAGGCCGGCGTACACCCTCGGCCAAGTGGCCCAAGAGCTCTTGGATGTAGGGCCTGGCATCCTTCGAAGTGCCGCCGGGGAGGCGACGTCTGCTTCGACCGTTTGTTCGAGATTCCGGGTTTCGGGAGTTGCGGTGTAGCGTTCGGTGTTTCTTGGTGTTCCTTGTTGTTCTCGGGGTGCGGCCGGAGCGTTTACTTAGCTGGCGGCTCCGCTTTTCTTTTAGCTGTGTCTGAAGCTTTGCTGAAAGGCTTAACTAACCTTAAACCCTGTTTACCTAAACTCAATCAGCCTACTTTTCTAGGGGTTTCTTGTTCTGACGGATTTCCGAACAGGTGGGTTTCTGGAGGTTAAAGCAGTGTCTTCTTGAAAGGAGGACCCCACGACAAATGCAGGTGTTGGACGGAGCCCTGCCGCTGAATGCAGGAGTCTTGTTGAATGTGGGCTAGTATGGGGTACCTTGAGGTTTCGTGGATGTTAGAGCTTTAGTAACCCAAAACCCTAAGCCCTTCCCGGTTTGGAGTTTATCTAGGGTTTGAGGGTTCAGGGTTCAGGGTTTGGGTCTTAGGGTCTTCGGTGTTCGGCGTGAGTCTAGGACATTTTCAGGTGGGTAGCTACCGTTCTAGGAGCCTTATAGAAGGTCTATTGACCTTATAGAAGCTAAACCCTAAACCCTTAACCCTTAACCCTTAACCCTAAACCCTAAACCCTAAGCTCTAAACCGTAAACCCTAACCCTAAACCCTTAACCCTAAACTCCCTACCTGTAGTTTCCTTTAGTTGGAGACTTGGAGTTTTAGGGTTCAAGGCTCGATGCTGCCCTGGTTGGTCCGCATCCTGCGGTGTAGGGCATTCGGTAGGGTTTAGGGTGTAGGGTTTAGGGTTTAGTGTGTAGGGTTTAGGGTTTTGGGAGTAGGGTGTAGGGTTTAGGGAGTTTAGGGTTTAGGGTTTAGGGGGTTTTAGGGTTTGGCTCCGGATCACAAAGCCATAACTAATCATGTGTTTCAGGTGGTGCGGCGTGGGGGCAGAATTCAAAGGGGGCCTGTGGCAATATTAAGTCTTTTCAGGGTTTGGGGCCCATTTGTTAAATTACCATGAGAATAAGTTGCTAAATCAAGGTTCTGCAAGGTTGGACCATTTGTAAGCCACTTTCATCCCTCCACCCCAAACCCCTACACACTAAGCTTGGCTCTTAGCCAGCGAACTAAGATGGAGCCCGCAGGCCATATTCAGAATTGAATGGTACCTAGGAGAGCCCCGGAAACCTTTAACCAACACTCAAAATCCTACACCCTAAAGCCTAAACCCCAAAAAACAAGCCTTAATTCCCAAATCAGACCCGAGAGAATCTAAACCTCAGCCCCTGCAATCCCTGACGCTCTTAACCCCGAACCCAAAACTCATAGAGCCCTGAACACCCTAAAACCAGAAACAGCGAAGTTAAATGCTTACATTGAAACCCAAAGCTCTACTCTATGAGCCGCCAGCTCTTATCTAGGCTTATAAGAGTTTAGAGCTTAGCTTAACTAAGCCGAAGCCTTGAGCCCTCAAGCCCTAAACCCCTAAACCCTAAACTCCTCAACCCTAAACACCTAAACCCTAAACCCCTCAACCCTAAACCCTAAACCCCTAAACCCTAAACACTAAACCTCCAAACCCTAAACCC